TTTAGGGCTGCTTTCCTCCCTCAGAGGAACAGAGGAGGAAGTTTTGGGGTCTTCATGGCCGCCCCTTTTAGGACCACTTGTTATCATCTTGCAAAAGAGATTTTTTTTGGGGGGGGGGGCACAATTTTGGGGTCACCGTGTGCCACTTTTTATCCATTTTTTTTTCTCTGATGTGGGATTTCTAGTGGGGTCCATGGTTCTGTTTTACTTCTTCTTTATTTTGGGGTGGATTTCTGCTCTTCCAAAAGCGGGGGGGGCGGCCCAATTCCCTCCCATTTCCACCCTCCCACCTCTCATTGCCCCCCACATCCTGTCTGTGTCCCCCCCCCTCAATAATTGTTGTCCTTTTCCAGGCGTTGTCTCCACGGTGGTGCCTGACTCTGCTCACAAACTGTTCATTGGGGGTCTGCCCAACTACCTGAACGACGACCAGGTGGGGAAGGGGCTCACGTGGTGACCCCCCCACACACCCCCCCAGTACAGAAATGGGGCAGGGGGGCACCCAGAGCCCCCCCAGCAGCAAAAGGAACAGAGCAGGGGATGCCCCTGTTGTGTTCTGTGTTGATCTTAATGGGTTTTTAGTGGGGTGGAGGGTTTTGGGGGGGTTGAGGTATGAGGGGGGGCCCTGATGTCTCTGCCCACATCCCCCCCAGTGCAGGATTGGGGCTGGGGGGGCCCAGAGGCCCCCGCATCCCACAGCACAGCAGTAGGGTTAGGGGGACAGTGCTGCATTTCTATTCCCCTGGAGGGGGGAACGGAGGCTCAGGGGGTTCCCAGGGGGGCTCCCGGTGCTGCTGCCCACCCCCCCGGTGCCCCCCCTCCAGGTGAAGGAGCTGCTGACGTCCTTTGGGCCTCTCAAAGCCTTCAACCTGGTGAAGGACAGTGCCACGGGGCTGTCCAAGGGCTACGCCTTCTGCGAGTACGTGGACATCAACGTCACTGACCAGGTACCCCCAATTCCCCCCCCCAAACAAGGGAAGCCCCCCAAAACCCAACAACCCCCCCCACACCCCACCAAAGCTCTGGGACTTTGGCTTTTTGCATCCCAACCCCCTTTTTGGGAGCCATCCCAGGTGTCTCTTTTCCCTACCCGCTTCTTTTCTGTTCAGGGGACATTTTGGGGTCCCCGTGGCCTTTCTCTTTTGGGGTGACCCCCCCATGACCCCCCCTCCCCCGTTGTCCCTCCCCTGTTTCTCTCCCCCCCTCCCCTCAGGCCATTGCAGGTCTCAATGGAATGCAGCTGGGGGATAAGAAGCTCCTGGTGCAGAGGGCCAGCGTGGGGGCCAAGAATGCCACCCTGGTGAGTGCCAGTGTGGGGGGGGGACAGCAGGGGTCTGCGTTGGAGGGGGGGGGACAGCAGGCACCAGCATCCCTTGGGGTGGAGGGGGGGAGGAGGGGAATCAGTGGAGGGGGGGGTCAGGCCCCATTTAGCTGGGGGAGAGGGGAGGTTTTGGGCCCCTTTAGGGAGGGGGGGAGCGAGCCCTAAACAGCC